TAAATAAATATCGTCACAGTTTACTCCAAGAGTCTCCTCCTTTGCTTGCTACCTCATTCTCCTCCGAGTAAGTAAATCAATAGGATAAACATTATTCTCGTTGTTTAAAAATATAAAGTATTTTTTAAAGGGTTAAATGTTAGAAAATATAAGACATTTTTAATCTTTCAAGATATAATTATTATTTTTTTTCAAAAGTGCTTGATAATAACTTTATATTTATTATATAATATTTAATAGAAATAAATATAAAAAAATATAATTAATTTAAAAATAAGTAATCATTTTATTGAGGATTAAATTTAATTAAAAATATTTTATATTTTTTAAAATGAAGGGAGTATATTTTTTTTCCCTGAGTCAGTCCTGTCACGAAAACTTTGCATGGTTATCTTGGTTGAGAGATTGGTTGCCCGGCCAGGTTCCACCTCATCAGTACTCAATGACCTTCATGTAGGGTCCAAAGGTCTCATTCATGTAAATATCCTTTTATAGGTATAGCCATTGGACTATGGAAATATTCAAATTAAATAATTAATTAAAAATTAAGTTAAATAAAATAAATAAATAAATTTAAATAATAAAAAACTAAATAAATAATTACCTTGTATTATAACCTTACATGTCTGGCTATTGGTCCCAGGAAACTCAGATATTTCCAGATCTAGAAATTCCTCAACTATTTGGATTGTGATTTCAGGGAACCCCTCCCTCTCAAGGCTTCCAGCTTCTAAATTAACTCTCAGCGCCCTCCCACTAAACCGTCAAATATATTATCAAAGTTGAGCATCGGGGCGAGAGGAGGGAGAGGATCCTGAAAAACACTCTGAACTGGCGCTAGAGAGATTTGAGAAAGCAACGGCAAGAGACATTTTTGCCAAAAGTTGCCAAAAGTGAAAAAGTGTGAAAAAAAATGAGAAAGACAAATGTTTATATGAACGTGACGACAATAGCAATTATCACCCAACCTGCTGCAATTTAATATAACCTCCGCCTTGTCTTAAATTATAAAATATTTAAAAAAAATTTATTTTAAAATATAAATATTTTGAGTAAATTAATGTTTCATTAAATATATTATTTTAATATTATTTTTTCTCTATAATTAATATTCATTCTTTCTCTTTTTAATATATTAAATGATGAATAGTTTTAAAAGTTTATATTTTTATTTAAAAAAAATTATTAAATATATTTAATAAAATTTATTGATATATAAAATTTTATTTAAAAATATTTAATAATTTAAAACGAAAGAAGTAATAATTTGGCCTTAAAACTCCAACTCGAACCGCAAGCAGTTCCAATGTCCGAATAAGGCTATCATTAATGCATTTTTACTTTTCAAAGTGATAATAGTTTAATAGTAAATTGCCATATGAATTGCCACCGAGTTGGCTATCCATCACTTGAGGCAAGTTCACGGTAGTTTAGCCTGAAAATTGATACAAATATTGTAGTGGCTTCACCATCTAAACCGCTACCAACTTTTCACATTATTTAACACCTTTGTTATATATTTAAAAATATAAATGAGCCTGAGGCCTTGAGTCAGGTTATTTATTTTTAATTTCTTTTTTAAAGTTTGATTTTTATGTAAAGGGCTTAAAGCCGGACTTAGAAATCCTATTAAAAAAATTAAAATTAAATTAATATTATAAATTAATTAAAATATTTTGAAATTTAAAAAATTAAAATCCACACAATATTTTAAAAATTAAACATCGTATTTAGAAATCTAAATAACACACATTCATCAATTAAAACTCAAATCTTTTTCATCCTCATCGTTTACAAATAAAACATTAGATCCTCGAATGTAAATATACTTATTAAAAATAGAGGTGAAAATTCAATGTCAATTTCTTGATCACTTATAATAAATATTAATTAAATTGTGTCATTATCAATGAAATATATGTATATATATGTAATAATAATCAGGTTTATCAAGATTTGAAGGGCCGCTTGAATTCAAACTTTTTTTCACAGGATTTATTAGAGTCAGGCGATTTCTTTTTAAAAAATAATTTTTAAAACTTAAATTTTTATTTAAATAAGATTTATAAACCTAACCTTTCAGGTTTGGCTCTTTTTTCTAATTTTACTTGGATTTAGCTAAACACAACAATTTTAGTGGCAGTCTGTGACAGGTAAACTGCTGCTATGTCTCCTGTTAAAGGATATGGGTCAAACTATTATAATATTATAACTACTTGAGTCAGAATGGCTATAGTCTTCATGTTTTGTGGTGGTTTTTATAAACTGTTACTATTGAGCCAACATTAAATGTTTTTTTTTTAAGTATCATTTAAATACTTTCGATGACTAAATCACAATGCCCATTTATAATAATGATTAAATAAATAGTATATTTAGTTTAATTGCCACAGCTAGTAAGTTTATATTATTAAACAAATTGATAATCAAATATATAGACAGGTGTGATTACGTACGAAGAGCATTAAAATCCGTTAATATACTATTCTGAAATACAAAAGTTGGAGGCATCAGGATAATATAATTTTTATTGACGTAAATGGATTGGATAAGAAGATAATGATCACAAAGAACACCCAATCTCTGGTTGATCACAATGCTTTTTTGAAAAAAAAAAATTTAGAAGTGTGTAGGTAAATGCATGGATAATCTCTATAGTACCCCCCAAAAAAAAATCTCTATATTTGATAATTTGTAATTTCATTATATGAAGCGATTTGTTATTAATTATTAGAAAATTACATTTAAATATCATATAAAAAATTAATTATAATAAAATCACAATTTAATTCAATCATTAAAAAACTTTATAATAATTAATTTTTTTATATGGAATTTGTTTATAATTTTTCCATTAATCATTGAATGACCATTTTGTTTGAACATGGATGCTCATGAATTCAGAAGCCGGGAGGAAGTTGCGTGTACCGAAGGGTAGCTATTCCGTGCAGCTACACCTAACATCGTACCTACGTCCGCATCAGAGCCTACCCCTTTCCCTGTCGTCCTTTTCCTTTCCTTCCTTGCCAGCCTCACTGTCTCCATAGATGTCTCATTTTTGCCTCTTACTCTCTTCCTTCCCCACCCGTCCGATCCTATCACCCCCCCAATGTCTCCTTCCCATCTGACGGTCACCGATTCGCCACGCTAGATCCGCCACCATCGACCATGGATCGTCACCACACAGTAGCATATACCGTCAGTGTTTATCTTATCTCCATTAGACTTTCTTTTTTCTTTTTAAAAAATGCGAAAACTGAAGAAGAAAACCAAACCTTATCCATTTGTGAGTTGAGAAATGTAAAATTGCCGCCCTGTCCGCCTGCTCCCTCCGTCCGGTTACTTTTGTCCTTTTTTGGTGCAATTTTGTTTCTAAAAACACGATTAGCTTTCAACACGTGTTCCCATCTTGTGCTTCCACGTGCCCCGTAGTAGCTGCTTCTTTACCTAACCTATCCCTCAACTTGGGCCTTATCCCTTCTATATTTAATTACTTATCTTAAAAAAAAAAACATGAAAATTTAGGTTTTGATGAATTTAAATAATATATTTCAAATCTCGATTTTGGCCTCTATTATTCACCGTGAACGGTTCCCGGTGTCATTTAAATGTATAAGCTTACTATAAAATAAAATAAGCAAATAGTAAGGTGATTTTTTTTTGGCCAACATTATGGTAAAATGATAGGAAAACATGACTTTTAACTTTTACACTTTAATTACATTTTATCATTAATTTTTATATTTTTTTAATATTTTAAATCTTTATATTTTTATTTTTTATTATTTTAAGTGATCTAAAATACTAAAATATCCAAGTAAAATGTAAGAGACTTACTGAAAAAATAATAAAAAAATAACATAATGTTTTGTTTTCCACTAAATTGATTGACTTCCTTCGTCTCCGTTTCCGATGAATAATATAGCCTTTTATTAATTAAATACAGTACTATGTGTCCAATTTTCAAACAATTATCCTGACACTGTTGGAAGAAAATATTTAAAATATAAATATACTTGGAATTTTTTTAGTTTTTATGGAAAATTTGTAATATTTAAGAGAGTATCAGTACGTGTTGTTAAAATAAATTGTTTTGTTTTGTATTTTATAAATAATATTAAATTTTTAATATCACATTCGTACGTAAACGAACGTTACTACTCGAATTAATGAAATTGAAATACCACACTAAATCCAAGTAGTTAATCTTCAAAATAAGCACTAATACTGCAAGTTGGGCGTGTAGTAGCGTGGGGAAGTGGGTCCCAGCGGTGACATAGCGAAGTGACCATTGCGGCGTCCAGCTGTCAACGGCGGTGGGTCGGGGCTCCAAATTCAAAGCACTTTCTACTTCACGTGCCCCGAGATTTTCACCGCGTCCGTTTAGCATTTCCAGCTTATCCACTCGAACCCTCTCTTGCCAATCGAACCGATTCTTCTCATCGTCTTTATACGTGTCGTCTATTGATTAGACGATCAGAAAACGTTACAGTGCTCTTCGAAACACCAGATCCCTACAGTTGTCGGAGATATCCCAAAAATGGTCAAACCGAGGCACGAATCTCGATCCTGTCAATGAAGCGCGGACAACTCGCCACGTAGCTCAACCGGAGCCCATCACCGAATAGTAATTGGACACGTGTCGGGGCACGAGCGTGACAGCTAATTTCGAGCAAGCTCCCCCCGAAGTGGGCCCCACGAGAGCATGATGCCTCGTGGCGGACTTACCAAAGGACAAAGGATAAGGTCGAAGTCCAGAAATGATCAGGTGTATCTCACACCATAGGTTCTCATAGACTATAGCCGTTGATTCGGATTCGTTCAAGTCTTGTTGACTCATCGAACTGTTGAAAGTTGCTTCTCATTTTTCTTACCCTCTCGGCTGAGACAAAGCAAGAAAAAAAATGGCGAAGCTGTTGACCCATAAAAACTATCGAGCTTCCAAAAATATCAAACTCTGATAAGCTGTCCCGGCTCAGTGGAGAGAGAGAGAAAGTGATGAGCGAGAAAGCTCCATAAAGTTACCAAAAGATAATTTAAAGTTTTCTATGATTTTTTTATAAAAAAATTATGGGGAATTAATATATATTTTTTCTGATATTCTTCTTCATCACTCCTGTAGTTGGACCAGATTGGATTTTTCCTCCGCCAGCGTTTTTATCTGGGTTCCGAATTTTCTACCCGTCCAATCAAAAATGGAATTCAAATCTCAATCAAACTGGTAATTTCCTCAGCCGTTTCTTTAATCAACTTGGGTTCTTCTTGTTTCGTTTTTGTTTTTCATTTTTTTTTCCTCTTCCTTTCACCTGTACTGAAGTTCTCTGCTTCTACATGACAACAACAATTTCTAGAGGATTGTTTGGTTGCTGTTTATTGTCGTAGCTGTATTTATTTTGATCTGAATCTATTCCATCCCTTTTGTTCCCCTCTTATCTGGAATTACAACTGGTAACTACACGGTGTATTTATCCCTTGCTTTGATCCACTTCTCCAAGCTCATCGTCAAGTAGCCGCTGCTTCTCTCTCTTTTAACGCTTCCCTTCCCTGTTCATCACAAATTTATCACTTCCTCCTCCAATTTCATGCTCTGCGGTCCCTCATTTTCTTAATTCAGGACTGTCTTCTGACCCACATCTCAAAAATCTCATTGTTTTTTAGGAGTGATTTATTTGTTAGTCAAGTGTTGTAGCTTTTGTGATTCTCTTAGAAAATGGTTTCAAGATCTTACTCAAACCTATTGGACCTGGCCTCTGGCGACTCTCCATCATTTGGGTTTATGAACCGTGGGATTCCCAGGATTATGACAGTGGCTGGTTTGATTTCTGAGGTTGATGACGACCCAGTGGAGAGTGTGAACTCTGATCCCTCGTCGTCGTCGGTCCACCGTGAGCGGATCATAATTGTTGCGAACCAGCTTCCAATCAGGGTTCAGAGGAAGCCAGACGGCGGTGGTAGTAGTAGTACTAGGAATTGGTTGTTCCAGTGGGATGATAATTCACTTCTCCTTCAGTTGAAAGATGGATTAGGTGATGATGATATTGAAGTTATTTATGTTGGGTGTCTCAAGGAAGAAATCCACCCAAATGAACAAGATGAGGTCTCACAGTTCCTCCTTGAAAATTACAGATGTGTCCCCACTTTTCTCCTTCCTGATCTGTTTTCAAGATACTATCATGGGTTTTGCAAGCAGCAGCTATGGCCTTTGTTTCACTACATGCTGCCTCTGTCACCAGAACTTGGGGGCAGATTCAATAGGTCACTGTGGCAGGCTTATGTCTCTGTGAATAAGATTTTTGCTGATCGAATTATGGAAGTGATTAACCCTGAAGACGATTATGTTTGGATCCATGATTATCATCTCATGGTGCTGCCTACATTCTTGAGGAAGAGATTCAACAGAGTTAAACTTGGGTTCTTCCTCCATAGCCCATTCCCTTCTTCAGAAATTTACAAGACATTGCCCATTAGAGAAGAGCTACTGAGAGCTCTTTTGAATTCAGATTTGATAGGTTTCCACACATTTGATTATGCGCGGCATTTCCTGTCCTGTTGTAGCCGGATGCTTGGCCTTAGCTACGAATCAAAGCGGGGTTATATTGGGCTTGAGTATTATGGTAGGACTGTTAGCATCAAAATTCTTCCTGTTGGTATCCACATGGGTCAGCTTCAACAAGTGTTAAGCCTTGCTAAGACAGAAGGGAAAGTTGCTGAGCTCATTGAGCAATTTTCAGGTCGGGGAAGGACATTGATGCTTGGAGTTGATGACATGGATATCTTTAAGGGAATAAGTTTGAAGCTTTTGGCCATGGAGCAGCTTCTTATTCAACATCCAGAGTGGCAAGGGAAGGTTGTATTGGTCCAAATTGCTAACCCGGCCCGGGGGAAAGGGAAAGATGTGAAGGAAGTGCAAACTGAGACAAAGGCAACGGTTAAAAGGATTAATGAATCGTTTGGGAAACCTGGGTATGATCCTGTCATTCTGATTGAGGAGCCACTGAAGTTCTATGAGAAAGTTGCATACTACACGGTTGCTGAGTGTTGTCTAGTCACTGCTGTTAGGGATGGAATGAATCTCATACCGTATGAATACATAATCAGTCGTCAAGGAAATGAAACATTGGACAAAGTTTTGGGACTGTCTTCCTCTCCTAAGAAGAGCATGCTGGTTGTCTCTGAGTTCATAGGTTGTTCCCCATCTTTAAGTGGAGCGATCAGAGTGAACCCATGGAATATTGATGCAGTAGCAGATGCAATGGACTCTGCCCTGGAAATGGCTGATTCAGAGAAACAGCTTAGGCATGAGAAGCATTATAGATATGTAAGTACCCATGATGTTGGGTACTGGGCTCGAAGCTTCTTGCAGGATTTGGAAAGGACTTGTAGTGATCATGTCCGACGAAGGTGGTGGGGAATTGGGTTTGGATTAGGTTTTAGAGTTGTAGCACTTGATCCAAACTTCAGGAAGCTCTCAATGGAGCACATAGTTTCAGCCTACAAGTGGACGAAAACTCGGGCGATCCTTTTAGATTATGATGGTACACTAATGCCTCAAGCTTCCATTGATAAGAGTCCGACAGGTAAATCTATTGAGATTCTTAGTAGCTTGTGCAGAGACAAGAACAACATGGTGTTTCTTGTTAGTGCTAGAAGCCGAAAAACTCTTGCTGAATGGTTTTCTCCTTGTGAGAACCTGGGGATTGCAGCTGAGCATGGTTACTTTTTAAGGTAAACTGCTAAAACTTTGGGATGATAATTAGTTAAAATTTCCTTAAGTGTTTGTTATTTGCCTCATTATTAATAAAACTATGATATGCAAACATATTTTACAAGTTAGCATCACATTATTGACCCATTACAGATTCTTCCATGTGTGATAATTTTGATGGCGAACTTGATAGAAAGAACCTGAATCTTAGAACAGCTCTTTGAAGTGTTTGATGTTTATGGTTAATGTTGTCAATTGTTTGGTTTCAGACTGAAGCGTGATGCAGAATGGGAAACATGTGGGCCCGCAACAGACTGTAGTTGGAAACAAATTGCTGAGCCTGTGATGAAGCTTTATACTGAAACAACTGACGGATCCACGATAGAAGATAAAGAGACTGCACTTGTGTGGTGCTATGAGGATGCAGATCCAGATTTTGGGTCATGCCAAGCCAAGGAACTTCTTGATCATCTTGAAAGTGTGCTTGCAAATGAACCTGTTACTGTCAAAAGTGGCCAGAACATTGTAGAGGTTAAACCACAGGTGTGTATAATATTTCTGAATGAGTTTAAATCGGTTCTCTTGGATTTCAACATTCTGCAATATGTCTTCAAATTTTCATTTATCTTGGATGCAAAATTTTGGTTAGCTTGTGAGACGTTATTTATATAGCAAGTCAATTTGTAACGAGCATGCAGTTGGTGCCATGTGAAGGTTTTTAGGGTTTATGAATCAAGAAAAATAATGCTATGAAATAGTTGGAAAAAACTAAAAGCAGATGAAAGAAGGTGATCTGTTGTCTAGTCCAATCTTTCTATGACTTGTGAATATTAATCTAAGTCTGGAATTCTTCATCTGCTTCTATTGTAGTAGTTAAACGCAATTTATGTTAAAACCCTTCTGAGAGTAGAGAGTGAATTGATTCTTAGACTGCTGCATAAATATGACTTCACTGTTAAAAGGTATTCTGTGCCTTTTTTTGACCCCCTTTTTCTTGGTGAGAAATGAAAAAAGGTTCAGATGCTACTTGTTTCATGGTTCTAAACTTCTAATATGCGGCACAAACATTTCAAAAAACAAAAAAAAAAAAAAAAAGCTGATTACTTACAGCTTTTAATATCGTTGAACTTTGTGCCTTTTCCTCCACTGCCTTTAATACCTATATCACTTGCAGGGGGTGAGCAAAGGGATTGTGGTGAAGCGCCTGCTTTCGACCATGCAAGAAAATGAAATATCACCTGATTTTGTGTTGTGCATAGGAGATGATAGGTCTGATGAAGACATGTTTGAGGTAATCTCCAGTTCCATGGCTGGTCCTACCCTTGCACCGAGGGCCGAAGTATTTGCATGCACGGTTGGCCGGAAGCCGAGCAAAGCCAAGTACTATCTTGATGATACAGCTGAAATAGTGAGATTGATACAAGGGCTGGCATGCGTCTCAGAGCAAACACATGGAAGAAAAGCTGGTGAATGAAATGTTTTGAGCTTCACTGCTTCTTGCTGCTGTTTCAGTCATTAATTGTGCTTCTTTCTCCCCCACACGATCTCATTGTTTTCTTGATATTTCCGTGTAAATTATAATAGCTGTTTGTTCCCGAGAGAAGCTCTGTATCGGATTCCTTTGGAATGTTTGATTGCAATTAGGAAAAAACTTGTAAATATATATTTGTTTTTCCACCATTAACTTCCAATTTTGCCCTGCTTTTCTAAGTTATTTGATAATATCTTCTCATTATATATTTGGCAGATGTACAGGATCATCTCCAAAATGACTTTTCTGATCAGTGTCAGCTACATTACCTTTCTCCTGCTCCAATTTCAATAACACATCCATTAGCCTCGTTTATTTCGTCATAATCTCGGATGGGATTCATCTCCAGCCATAAAAACACTGCACATTGTTCCAGTGAAGTTTTTATTGATGTGGTGGTGTGTGGGAGAGCCGGACGAAGTAGTTTCGTCACCTGAGCTCCGGAGTTCGGATCTCCGATTCTCCATCAAGCTGGATGTCGGGCCCTGACCGGTTCGTTTTGATACTACGATGAAATAAATAATTATGATCCGAAACTTGAACCTGATCTGAGGTTTGCGGAATTAGTGCATTTGCCTGAGGTATCTACGTTGGATAGTCGACAATCAGTTCCCTTGCCCTCGTGCATTGACAGGCTTTTGGGCGTCACGGTGTTTTCCAGGTTTCTAGCGTTCTATATATGGCTAAGACGTAGTTTGGCGATGATCTTCAAATACAATCTATTTAGGACTATGACATTGTTTTCAATATGTAAGCTCAAACAATTGATTGGAGTGAAGTACATCATAACGCACAATTCTTGGATGTAAGATCCCACTCTTGTCAGCATCGAGGAGAGACCAATTGTTCAGTTCGGGGGCGGTTAGTGGAGATACTGCTTCCCAATCGTTAGAGGGAGAGACTGAGTGGCGAAGTAACTTGCACAAACACTGCTCTCTCTCTGTGTGGCGTATCTCAGCTCTCCAGTCCATGAGCAGAGCTTTTCTAGTGATGCGGATCAGCGACTTTTGGCCGAAAAAGATTGGTAGCTTTTGGAACCAGCGATGTGTAGGATGATGAATGTCCTGTTCCAAGTCAAAAGATGATTGGGATAGAAATCACTCGCTCAGATGTTAAAACCAGATGTTAAACCTGAGATACTGCCCCAATTTGGACTTCCTAAACTGGCACTGGCTATCCTTTGCAAAGGATGAATTTCGGAATTCTCGATCGTAATTGTTATTTCACCAAAAATCTCCACATGAACAATGTCCATTATTGAAATGGTGGAATCTGCTATTATCCCTCACAATGATTTCCCTCCCAACAATCTTTGCAATAAATTTAATCGCCGTATGGCAGTCCACACAAACCCGAATATTCTTGATTACACGAATTGTTGTGCCAGCAGGAGTGCTAATAATGCCATATGCTATGGCAAGTCTCTCACTGTGGGTATGTAACAAGAATCGTTTCTGATCCTCTTCAACATCATGGAGAACCTGATCAGTGTCAGCGACATAACCTTCTTTCTCCATCTGCTCCAATAACACATTCAATGCCTCGTTTATTTTGTCATAATCTGGATGGGATTCATCTCCAGCCATGAAACAATGCACATCGTTCCTAACCTCGATCCAGCTGCACGCTGGTGTCTTCTTCATTCCTCTTTTCCTCATTTGGATTCTTAATTTTGCAGCATCTTTCCATCTGTGGGAAGCTGAGTATATGTTTGACATTAGAATATAAGCACCCATGTTTTCCGGATCGATAATTAGTATCTTGTCAACAACCTTTTCTGCTAATTCAACATTCTTGTGAACTCTACAAGCAGCCAGCAATGTTGACCACACGCTTCCTGTCGGGGGCGGTGCTTTCATGCCAGAAATAAAGTCATGGGCTTCCTCCAACTTTCCCGCTCTACCAAGCAGATCTGCAACAGCAGCATAATGCTCCAGGCCAGGAGCAATACCGAAATCACATGCCATACTATTCAAATACTTCCACGCTTCATCTACCAATCCAGCATGACAACAGGCAGTTAAAACAGCCACAAATACCACGTAGGTTGGCTCTACTCCATCTGCTAACATCTGCTCAAACAAGCTAACAGCATCAAGGGCATGCCCATGCAAAGCACATCCCATAATGATGGCAGTATATGACACAATGTCATGCATCACTATCTTGTCAAATATATGCCTGGCCATCTTAACGTTGCCACATTTAGCATACATATCCACCAGAGCACTTGCTATAAACTTGTTATCATCAAACCCTATTCTAATTATGTATCCATGGAGCTGCTTTCCCAAACTTAGGGCTGTCAAGTGAGCACAAGCTGGTATGATACTTGAGAAAGAAACAGGCTTTGGTTTAACTTTTTCCTTCAACATTTGACGGAACAACCATAGCCCTTGATCAAACTGACCGTTCTGCACGCATCCAGCAATAATAGAGTTCCACGAAATGGCATCTCGCTTAGATAAGAGGTTAAAGACATGAAGCGAATACTCCGCTTGAGTACATTTAGCATACATATCAATTAAACTGCTTCCAATGAAAACATCCGCATCAAACCCATGTCTGATAACATAGCTATGAATTTCTTTTCCTTTAATAATATCAGCATACTCTGCAAAAATTGGAAGAATGCTTGACAATGTGAAGGTGTCAGGCTTCAAGTTTGCATTTCCCATCTCCCTAACCATGGTTAGTGCTTCTTCATACATCCCATTTTGTGCATTTCCGACAATAACAGTGTTCCAGGAAACAAGATCCTTTATTGGCATCATCTCAAAAACCTTTCTGACACTACCTATTTTCACAGGAGCCATGTCTGCCATCACAACATTATTTTGATTAACATGATCCAAAAAAGTAACATCAGCATCACCTTTTAGATGAGAATTGATGCCGAGGAACTGTCCTTCAGAATTGTTCACTGATCTACATGAATTATTATAATTCAAGATCAAACTACCATCAGCTTCTCTCTCTGCATTGCCTGCAAAAAACTGCGAAACCATTTCACCATTTGATCCAATGCACCTAAATAAACGACTCTCGTGTTTAGCATTTTCCTTTTCTTCAGTAAATCCGTCAAGCATATTCCGTGCAGAAAGATTGTTTTTACAAGACTTACCCAAACTCTGAAATTTTGAATACATATTCATCAGTGCATTACCAGTGTATAAATCAAAATCCAGACCAAGACGGATGATGCACCCATGCACTGACTCACCCAACCTCAAGTCCTTCAGCAATGTACAAGCTTTGAGCACAGAAGGAAACACATGTTTATCTGGAAAAATACCCGATGCCCGCATCTCATTAAAGGATGCCAACGATTGAACAGAAAGGCCATGAGAAGTGTAGCATCTAATGATAGATTTCCAAGCCAGAGCTCGAGGAGACTGCAGGCTGTCAAATACACGAACTGAATCATGTAAATGGTTCAAGTTTGAGTAAATTGAAAGTATAACGGAATTGTCGGAGTGAAATGTTCCTTTAATTTTGAGAATTTGTGCATGAAACTGTTTTGCGAGATAGGTGCAAGTGATAGCGTTTGGGTTTTTTAGAATAGTTCTTATCAGATTTTGAGATGAACCCATCGATCTAGCAGGATTTTAAAGTAAACATGGTGATGCACCCCGCGACTTCTTTGGATGAAGAAAGGTGTGTAATGATTGTACACTGACCAGTATTCTTCTGCAATTGCATTCTAAAACTCAATCAAAGAAACCACACGCTCAAATCCCCAAGTTTAAACGAGTTCACGGCAATCATTACAATCAAACGTTGACTGATCGGTGACTGGTTCTCGAACTCGACAGTAGGCATTCTAGTACTTTACAGCCCAAATCATGAACTTGTGACCAATTCAGAAACCAAAAGGAGTGAGCATGACTAATTAAATGTTTCAGAAATGGCACTCACAAAATTTGTCATCGTCCTCTACCTGTTCGAGCAATACCAGCGTGCTAATGATGGCTTCATTCATGAGTCAGGGGAATAAATACTTCGTTGAAGTGGTGAGAGCTGAACTTGAGAGCCACGCCGAAAGCTCCAGTGGATTGGAGGGTGGTCCTGTTCGTCAACGGCGATGGGGGTCCTCTCCCTCCCATCTCCCTGGGCGCCTCGGCGATCAGGTGCTATGGCCTATGGTATGTAAATGGGCCAATAACGGGCCACTCTTTAGCCCATACAAAGAGGCTCAATTGTGGCCCAACATTTACTTTTAAGCAAGGTACGTAAAACCGGACCGGTCATTAAACCGGTCATAGCACTGGGTCACGGGTTAGTGGTTCAATCAGGGTTGAACCGGGGGTTGAACCGGTGGCAAACCGGTCATGATTAAAATAATACAATTTAAATAAAAAGACATTAATTATAAAAACATTCAACCAAATCCAACCACTCAAAAGTCTAACAATAATAAAATACTATATTTTTGGACTTAGCATGCTTTATCTCTAATTTTTTATTTTTTGACTTCAATTTTACTTTTTTTTGTTATTTTTTTCCGAACTCAGAGCTCTGAAAAATTAAAAATGAAAAAAAAAATCAAAAACGACGTCGTTTTGGGGTAAAAGTCTGAAAAAATATTAACCCGGTTAACCCAGTCAACCCACCGGGTTATCCGGGTTATACCGGGTTGAACCCGGGTTGACCGGGTTACACCGGTTCACTCCCTCACCGGGTTAAGTGCAAACCCAGACCGGACAGAGGACCGGTTCACCGGTTTCCGGGTTGACCCGGCCGGTCCGGTCCGGTTTTCAATACCATGCTTTTAAGGATCTGATGCGTTTTCTTTTCTATCCCCCCCCCTCGCGGCAAAAGGCTAAAGCAGAAATGGGACGGAATCAGGAAAAGAAAAAGGAAAAATTATTTAATGTCCCACTCAGCACAATTAATTATTTTTAAATTCAATGACAGCTGAGTTTAAAAAATGGTAAATTTTTAATTAACCTGAGAGTATTTCAATGTGTTTTTTGTTTAATAGGACTTGTATGTAATTCTTTAAAAAAAAAAAAAGAAGTCAACTTTACCTATGTTCTAAGGGTTTTATGGTGAATTTTTAATCAAAGAAAAATTCATTGATAATTAGTTTAATGAGATGATTATTAAAATTTTGAATATATACTTGCAACTGCTCAATAAAGAGAAGGGTGGGGCTTCAGTGGGGTAGAATTTTATATAAAAAAATATTATGATCATTTTCTTTTAAAACATATTTGCAATTCGTCCCTTAATCTTGCAATGAATTTTTGAACTCTATAGGTCTTGATTTAAAATTAAATCCTTACAGGGGTTTTAAACTGAAATTGTCCCCTAATTTTTTAATGTCTAGGATAAAATCTTTGATGTCTAGTCTAACGGATTGGATGGGAACATGAAGTTAGAAAGGAGAATAGTTACTGTGTGATGAGGATGAAAGCAGGGTGGGCCACCTAGGAAGGAAAGGAGGGACACCACATAGCAATTGCCTGGTTTCTATGTTGGGTCTTGCGAGCAACAACGTTAGCAACACGTAAAGAAAGAGGACCATCCCCTTCGATTTGATTTTGAATTGAAACCATCGTGACTGTCCTAGTCTCCGGGTGTTAGTGGCCTCACTTTTCTCATGTTCCCACTTGCGCTTGACTCTCTCTCCTCTCCAATATATGCTCCCCCCCCCCCCCCCGGTGTGAACTCTATCTTTCAAGCACTTCCCTCTTTTCTCTTGCTTTATTCTAACTCACTCAAGTCTCCTTTGATTACTGAAAATAAATTAAATGAAATAGATTAAAAAAATTAAAATAAAAATAAATTAAGTTATCATTCTTCATGATAAGCGTAATAAAACTCATTAATATTTATTACAAATGTAAAAATTATTACACACTTCAAAAATTTAATGAATCATTTTCTCAATCTCATGAACTAAATTACTTACCCTCTTTATAAATGTGCTCATCTTGCCCCTTTGATCATATTATTTTTATCTTTATTTTTTCATTCCATTCCATTCTAATAAGCAAATGAGACCTCAATTTCTTATTTTATGTGCTTCCAATACAATATCTTATGTTTTAATTGGAAGAGTGCTCAAACTATTTTAATAATCAGTCAAAATAAAGTAATGAGAGTTTAATGAGCATCTCCAAGGAATCTATTGTTCTAAAGATGTTATAGATTTAATTGATAATCTCGGTCATCTCAAGAATAGGCAAATTCACACTATATCTCCTTAATTATATAGATAGTATGAAAGTAAAGAGAAAATGAAGAATGATAGAATGGGTCAATAATTGTGAGTTAGGCTAAAATCCTCTTATGTTGAGTGTACAAAAAACTAAATGGAGCCAATGGCCTTATAACCTAATGGTATGTAAGTGCCCTTATAAATGAGAGATCGTAGGTTTGATTTTGTTTGTAACTTTGGGTTATTAGTGCTTGTCCTTTTAATTCAAAGAAAAAAAAGGAAAGAAGAAAACAAATGGTTATAGATTGGATCTCTATTCAAATGGGCTCACTATTTGTGTGACTCATCTATTATATAGTTCACACGAAAATTATAAAAGGTCAATATATTACAGGCTCAATAATTAATTAAATGCTATTCCACACAAAATATAAAATACTCGAGTAGAGAGATCTAGAGTAATACCAGGTGTGTCTTCTATTCTTGTTGAGATGGTTCTCACTTGGTACTGGCATTAATTATTAGTCCATGATGCTCTAAAATTCATGGGAAGCAAGACATTGATTGCAGACTAGCCAGAGCACCAACTTACAGATTGCTCGAATTTTAGGAAATAATTAATTGCCACGAACACCAATTGTGGACTTTAATAAATGCTGCTTGACTACATATTTACTGAAATGAGAATCAAGGAGTGGTTGACAAGTTAGCCGAGTGACATACCTTGCAAGTGGACGGATCGCTCCTCATTATTATTCCTCAAAATAGCTTTAAATCCTCTTTATATTTACTTTTCCTCCTCAAACCCCAATCTCAAGAAAAAACAAGATTCTAATAAATATAGTATTCAAAGATGAACCTAGATTTTGACCAATTCAATATAGTTTTGGCTAGTTTTGATTGTGTACATGAGGAAGAACGCGGTTTGATCCTTGAATCATTGAACACCGAAGAAAGCTTATTGCATGCATTAATCCCAGGCGCAGGGAGCATTTAATTTGAATATCATTTTCAGTATTTTGTGACTTTAGAATGTCCCTTCCAATACTCTTAGATAGCAAATAATGTTCCCATATACGTACTCTCCTTGTCGATCCAACTTGATTTTTTTCGGATTCATTAGGGTTTTGGGAATTAAAATTATTCACAAGGACCAAATTCATAAACTATTTATTCCCAATGATCTCATCCAGTGTCAAATGCTTGAGCAAACACTTGAAAATTTTCTTTGTTTTTCACCATTAAATACTTCAACTTGGTTCTTGGGAATAAATACTTTCTGAATTTGATATTTTTGTGAACAATTTTGTCTAGAGACTAATATATTTCTAGGTATTGGATGGTTTGAACCAAATGGGCATAAAGAAGAGCTTTCGGATGACAAATACAAAAATGTGCATCAATATGAAATTGACATCCAAGGTCTTGTTTGGACTTAAAGTTAAAGTAGAAGTTCAAAGTTAAGAGGAGAAAGCTCTGTCCCAAGATATAAGTGGAGACGTAGCTCACTTTGTTTCTAGGAGAAGGATCGTGCCATGCATAAGCTCAATATAACCCTCAAAACTCAAGGGTGACTAAACATTAGGGATTGTTGAGTGGATATGGCGTGATCATCTTAGGTTCCACAAATCTCGCAAGGCCATACTACGTGGTTGTTGATATTTCGTGCACTGGCTTTGAATCTTATGAGAATAACGATCTCGATCGAATGCTTATAAAAGGATCAAAGGACCGTGAGGAGGGAGGAATCATCAACAACACTCTATCAACATTTTTGAACATAGTCATTTTACTTTCCAAATTTACCTTGTATCAAGTTCCTCTTAGAATCAATTCTAGGTTCGAGTTGCAATCAACAAAACTATGTCTTGTTATTTTCACCATTAATTCAAAAATAGATTTTGTTTTGATCTCTTTGTATCTTCACATTCGGATAAATTATGATAAGAGAGTTCAGGAATTCTATTATTATCTTTGAGACTTAGCATTTTTGACACACTTAATATTTATTGTTTTGTTAAGAATAAGTCTAAAAAGATTAATTTAATGATAGTTAAGTTTTTAAAAAAATTTATTAAAAGATGAGTCGTACATATAAATTCACACAGATACACGTATAGAAGTTTGAGTTGTAAATTAAACACTTCAATCTCATAATAAGTCACTCCTAATGATTTACAACTAAAATTATGATATTTACAACTCTTTGAATCATCATAACTCATTTTTTATTCTCTCTATCTCATTTCATAAGACATATTTGGAGGTAATTTGATGTCTTAAAATATGTGACATTTTGAAAAAAATTAAAATTTTATTAATGATGATTATTCTAATAATTCCTCCATCCCATAAGACACTTTCAATTAAATTCAGCATCTTAAAATATAAATCGCTTTTATAAAAATAAGGTTTCATTAATGATACTTTTTTAATATTATCCTTTTCATAATTTTTTTTACTCCCTTTATCCCAAATTATAAGACACTTTTAGAGAAAATTTAAAGTCTCAAAATATAAGATACTTTGATAAAAATAATATTTTATTAATAATACTTTTTCAATATTATCTTTATCATATATTCTTTTATCAATGAAGTATTAAATAAAGAGTATTTTTAAAAGTTTATATTTTTGTTTTGAAAAAGTAAGGTTGTAAAGTGTATTTAATGGACTTTATTGATATGTGAAATTTTATCTAAAAATATCTTATAATTTGAGAAGGATGGAGTAAATTTTTTTATAAATAGAGTATTAAATGAAAAATATTTTTAAAAATTTACAAACAAATTAAAATTATAAATTATATTTAATAAATTTTATTGGCCTGTATAATTTTGTCAAAAAAAAAATCTTACATATTGGGACTAAATGAG